TTTTTTTTTTTTTTATTTATTTATTATATTTAAAATGTGTCAACATATTACATGTTATTACAAGTTTATTAATACAATTTAGAATTTATTATTAAGTATGGTATGGATGATTAGAAGATATGTGATACGTGTGTTAATTAATTAAGGAGTGGAAGTGATGAGGAGTGGAATTTTGTTTATTAGGGATATAAACACACTCGAAAAGTTTAAACGACATAACTTGAGTATTTTTTATTCAGGAAATTTTTGAGACGTAAAAAAAAAAACAAAAGTTTTTTTTATCATTTTCTGCAATTATCTATGTAAACATAATATCAGATATACACGTAGAGTAAACCACTGTATTTTCCACATATTATGGACGATAGCAATTAAATGACGGCAAAAATAGTTGCCAAAAAAATGAAAATTCGAAAAATTATTATTCGTAATCGACATAATACTCTATATTATATTCTAAACTTATTAATAAATACGAACCTCTCTGATGTGCGACTGCAACCTGCCATTCTGGTCCGTAAGCTCTCGGACCACGGCTCGTTTCTGTTTGTCCGCCTCGCGCAGCTGACGTTCCCGGCTGTCGAGCACCGCCTGCAGGTCTCTGAGATCGGCCTGCAGCTCATGGCACCGTTGCTCGCACTCGGCCTTTGACTGTGCCAACTGTCTGCGCAACCGGTGGCGGTCCTGTTCGATCTCCTATTGCAGCGAAACAACGACAAAAACGATGCGATGTATAAGTTAACTGCGGTGCGTCTCGTTTATTTGACGTAGGTATTGGCGTACATCACACGAGACGTAGTATGATAATAACAATAATAACAACAATAACGACAATAATAATAACAATTCTAGTGTGTAAATGACGATTAACGAGGAATGAGCATGTATAATAATATAGTACGGTTGTTCACGCAAATTTGCATAAATCATCACATTATTAGAGAAAAAAATGGTCGAAGCGCAGATTTGAATAGGCGATATGAGTCATTATACTGCGTATATATTATATATGTAAATACGATTCATGAGTCATAAACTAATAACTATCTCTATAGGTGCCAAATGTTTTACATTAGAGTGTTGCCCAACCCAATAACTCGTGGGTCTCGACACTCGAAAGTATCGATTGACGATCGTAAGTATCCAAGATCCGTTTTTAAGTAAAAACCATTGGTTATAGACAACAATAATAATAATATTATAATATAAATTTATTGTCGATACTTTAAAAAATAGTGTTATGGGCTACGAGATATATTGTTAAATAGGTATAAGTATATATTATAATATAATATGTAATATTGTTATAAGTATTAGCAATAGTAATATGGCTATATATATATATATATGGCCTAATGTAATAATATAATATATTATATGGCTGTAATATATACGAGATAGTAGATTCATATTTTTATGAATCTTGTTTTAAAAACATCATAATAAACATCGCAATAGCAGTCGTGTACTGAGGTCGATAATAAATACATTATTACATTTCCACGAATTGACAATTGGGAACAGATTACATCCTGGAGATTTTTGTTATCGATTAAACAACTGTGAAAACGATTCCAAGAATAAATACAAAATGAAAGGCTATAGACTACAATGACAAGAGGCTTCTTCATATATAAAGGAGCCCAGAGATCAGCAAGGGCAGATGTACCAGAGCCACAGAGACCTGAGCACCTCCACGACACTCAGCCACTTTTTGTATCAGTTACATGAACTTTATTAATACGTAATAAACACATTATTGTTCATAAAAGTTGTAATTTTCATTTAAAATAACACCTTGGACTTGTATCTGATATTGGCACGCAACAACTATTTGTTATTTCTAAGTTCTAACCCACGCGCAATAATATAGTAGTTGCAAATATACGTTTAGCAGAATCGACATCGTTGTTCTTTGCTTAAATATTAGATTAAAATGAGTGAACAGACTTTTATTAAACTTAGGTAAAGGTAATTAGTCTTTACGGCTCTACAATATATGAGAACTTCTAATTTTAATACTTTGTATACCACCGCATAACTTGTATAAAGGCTTTAAATGTCGTAAAAAGTTAACATATACGAACACAGATAATGTGATCTTAACTTCAATATTTAAATAATAGATAAATTCATATTATAATTTTAAATCTATAACAATACTAGTTTATAATTCTGCGAAATGTAAATTCACTATGTCACGCTTGAGGGGTCAGAGAGAAAAATTAAATATCGCGTTGACATAATTTTAACGTTGTATACTAAAATTGAAAAAAAATTCTAAAATTTTCCCTATGTAATGAACTTTGCAAATGTTTGTGATTTTAATAAATTTTTTACAAACTTGATCTTTAAATAGCTATAAAATAAAAGGATAACTATATATTTTTAATATGTATTGATTACCATTAGTATATTTTACAAGGTATAGGTAACAATGTGTTTATTTTTCTAGAATTTTATTTTTACAGAAAAAATGATCACATAAAAATCAAAAATTTAAAATATCTTTTTAGATAGCACTAAAAGAGTCAAAATATTTTTAAAGTTACATTGTTTCTGATGAATGTTAATCTAGTGAATATTTCAAACCTTTACGGTTGTTCATTTTTCAATTATAACGAAAATAAAAATTGAATTAATCAATAACAGATTTTCCGTTCAAATTCTAGTTTTCCAAATTATTTTTTAAAGTACTGAAAATACTTAATTTTACTTCTCATAAATCTGATTTTCTACCATAAAACATCCTTGGATTTGAAGATCAAAGCATTTTATCTCTATTTTCATATTAGCGAAAAACACACATAATTGGTACAATCAATGTATTTAGAAATCTAATAGCTAATATAGGTATCTACATAATTATGTATGCATTATTAACGATGATTTTATGTGAAACAAATATTTTTAAACAAATCTTTAATATTTCAATGGAGTAACAAAACATTTGAAAGTATTTTGCTTTCGTGTTATATTTATTTGTTCTTAAACCCATATAAGAATTAAGTATAGTCTTATAGGCGCGAGTATATATCATTGAAAGAAATAAGAACAAAAATTAAGCGTCAAACTTACCCTGTGCTCGTAATGGTTCGCCTCAGCTCGGCACTCGGCTAGCTGGCGATCTTTGAGTTCGAGTAGTTCGGCCAACCGATCGCGGTCGGCTCGCAACTCAGCCATCCTCTTCTGTAGTCGTTGTTTCTCTGCCGCTTTCATATCGATCTAGAAAAATATCGTCACCACCCGTTTGCTTTATACTGTGCATCAAATTTACTCAGTCGACACTGTCCAATAAGAAATACTTTTAAAAAATAATTAATTTTTAAAGTTTGTATATTTATATACGTCTTATACGTAAAATTATGCGTATATATAGTATGAGTTATAAGTTTAATAAGGATATAACTAATAAGAATCTTTTCTGAAAGATTTAGTATTGCTAAAATCGAAAGAGTTGACGTTGTTCTTAATTATTTTAGGGTTATTGTTTCGAGATTTTTAATGTATTAACTATTACGATTGTGAGAAGTTATTTATTGTGATAAAATAAAATACTTATGAGAGAATTTGTAAAACTTTTCAAAACTTAAAACATTTGTTTTCCACCGTTTCTTTTTTTAATCGAACACGAGCTATTTTTGTATATATTACAAGTACCTACAATAATTGAACTGTAAATTAATTCACTGTTTTAGAAATCGTGTAATTAATGCTTCATTTTCACTAAAAACTAAAAAGTCAACTACATGATGAACGCTAAGCTTTTTATGAAATATTTTCAAATGTTGACTTAAATTTTAACAAGCAAATTCAATTTTTAGTCTTTAAATTCCTTTAATGAACAATACGGCGTTTTTTTTTTACCTTAGCTTAATATTATTTTAAGGCATACAATTTTAAGTACTTATATACTACATAATATATATTATATATAATAGCCGTCAGTCGAAATAATCAATTTGGATAGAATATTTAATATCAAAAATAATTTATTGAATGTTATCTATATTTTCAAGAATCAGGATTATAATGTTTATAAAAAATACAAACAAAACTCAAATATAATACCATTGTGCAGCTTATATTTACTAAGTTGAGTAGACTTTGTTCGGTTAAAAATTCGATTAGGTTAACCTAATATTAAATATCAAGCAACTAATATAAGTAAATAAATACAATCATCACGCTAAACGTATAATTTTAAAAACATTGATTTTGTTATTGTATGAACTATGAATAATAATAATTAAAATATTTTAAGTATATCTATTATAAACAGTGACAAAGTCGATCGTTGGCGTAACGGCCAAATTCTGATTTTTCGATTAATCACCAACAACCGACTGCGACCCAAGTAGACTGTCGATATTGTAAAATTTAATATGACTATTTCGCATTAATATAGTATTGATCAGAGCGAAATGAACAAAATAGTATCCGATGCATTTACCTCATCACGCAACACGTCCAGGCTGCGGTAGTCGTCTGGCGTCAGCGACCCGTAATCAGTGGTGGAACCGCCGTTGGTCATGGATGTGGGCGATCCAACTCCTCCGATCCCTGTCCATTTGCCGCTGCCATGTTGTAGCTGCTGTGCGTCTTCCAGAAGACGACACTTGTGCCGGAGTTCCGCTTCTGCCTGGGAAAGCTGCAGCGCACAAACATTTATATAATATCATAAAATCAGTATATACTCAATCATTCGACGCGAGGCATGCGTCAGATTAACTCAGACCGAGTTTATTTGGCACATATATTTTTTTAAAGATTTTTTTTTTTTTTTTATTTATTTATTATATTTAAAATGTGTCAACATATTACATGTTATTACAAGTTTATTAATACAATTTAGAATTTATTATTAAGTATGGTATGGATGATTAGAAGATATGTGATACGTGTGTTAATTAATTAAGGAGTGGAAGTGATGAGGAGTGGAATTTTGTTTATTAGGGATATAAACACACTCGAAAAGTTTAAACGACATAACTTGAGTATTTTTTATTCAGGAAATTTTTGAGACGTAAAAAAAAA